TCACCACTGGGATTTGTATTTTTTTTGCTATGTAAATGAAATGTCCAAAAAATTTTTTAAAAAAGGGTTTTTTTTATAAAATTTTGCAAATAAATAATATTTCATCATAAATCTTAGCCAAAATTTATTCCGTTATCTTTTTAGTAAAAAAAAAAAAAATCCAAATTAGTTTATAAGCAAAAATTATAATTTTTAAACATTTTTTTTTACATTTTTATTTTATTTTTTATATTATTATTTTTTATTTATTTATTTTTTTTTACATACTGTCACTCTAGCAGTACAGTGTCACCATGGTGACACTGTACTACTTGTGAGGGGTGATAAAGATTTTTTTTTTTTTTTTTTACACTGATTGCTTTTACACCCATATAGGATGTAAAAGCAATCATTTCTCTTTCTCTCTGTGTGCATTCCTGCACTCATTGAGAAATACAGAGTGAGCTGTGATTGGTCACAGCTTGTCACATGGTGCAAGGCTGTTGTGAATAGCCTTGTACCATGTGACCTCTGTGATCATTCACAGATTTCACACATAGTAAGCAATGATGTCAGAAGTGACATCTTGCTTACTACTTTGCATGTGTGATCACTGATTGGCCAATCAGTGATCACATGATCGGGACCTCGTACAGAGGTCCCGTCCGACGATCAGTGTTTCACTGTGCCCGGAGGACACAGCGGGCACCGGATCGCGGTGCTGCGCGCTCCCAGGGAGCGCGCACAAGCAGGGTGTGGGGAGGCCGTTTATAGACGGCCACCCGACCCTGCAGTGCCACCGTCCAGCCGTTTATATACAATGGCCGGTTGGGAAGTGGTTAAGGTAAAAGCCTTCTGCCTTTAGAACTGCTTTAAAAAGGATCTTTGATCAGGTTTAAAAAAATTAAAAGTCCGCAGCTACAAATACTGTAGCTGCTGACTTTTAATAAAAAGACAATACCAGCCCAGAGATCCAGTACTGCCTTAACCTAAGCCAGTTCTTCGCTGGTCTGTGGGTTCCCTACGCCATCATGCTAACCACGACAAGTCCGGACACTTTCACCCCTTCCTGTCCAGGCCAATTTTCAGCTTATAGCGCTATCACACTTTGAATGACAATTGCGCGGTCATGCAGCACTGTACCCATATGGATTTTTTAGCATTTTTTTCAGAAAGATAAAACTTTATTTTGGTGGTATTTAGTTACCACTGGGATTTTTATTTTTTTGCTTTATAAATGAAAAAGTCCAAACATTTTGAAAAAAAAGTGTTTTTCTTATAATTTTGCAAATAAATAATCTCTCTTCATAAATCTTGGCCAAAATGTATTCATCTATCTTTGTAGAAAAAAAAATAACTCAAATTAGTTTATAACCAAAAATTATAATTGTTCAACATTTTATTTAAATTTTTTATTTTATTTTTTTATATTATTATTTTTTTTTTTTTTTACATACTGTCACCCTATCAGTACAGTGTCACCATAGTGACACTGTACTACTTCTGGGGGGTGATGAAGATTTTTTTTTTTCTTTTTTTACACTGATTGCTTTTACACCCATAAAGACTGTAAAAGCAATCATTTCTCCTTCTCTCTGGCTGCATTCTTGCAGCCATTGAGAAATACTGTGAGCTGTGATTGGTCACAGCTTGTCACATGGTACAAGGCTGTTGTGAATAGCCTTGTACCATGTGACCTCTGTGATCATTAACAGATTTCACACGTAGTAAGCAAGGATGTCAGGAAGTGACATCTTGCTTACTATTATTCATGTGATCAATGATTGGCCAATCCGTGATCACACGATCGGGACCTCACACAGAGGTCCCCTACAGCGATCGGTGTTCCAGACACAGCAGGCACCGACTGCTGTGCCACGCGCTCCCAGGGAGTGAGCACGGGCAATGGATGTGGGGGTACATTTAGAAACGTCCACCCCAGGGGTAGACTGACAATTCATGGGGTCCCCGGGCAATAGGGGATCATGTAGCCCCTGAGTCCTTGCTCAAATCAAAGCACACCCAAAAAAGCCTATAAAAAAGGTACTAGGTGCATTTCATGGGGCCCCCTACTGACCCCGGCCCTCGGGCAGTGCCCGAGTGCTTGAATGGTCAGTCCACCCCTGGTCCACCCGCATTGGCAGCGCTCCTGTCCAGCTGTTTATCTGCATGGGCTGGACGGGAAGTGGTTAACTGGAAAGCCAGCTATGACTTCTTGCAGCTTCACGGCTGGCTCTGCACTGCACATGTGTGAGTCATACTGCACTGTCAGAATGATCCCGCAGCCTCTTGGGAGCTGTAACTTGTCCCAGGAGGCTGAGGGCAGGGAGGGGGGTGGGAAGGGCGAACTGCCACTCTGATCTCCTAGTCAAAACTAGGTACCCCCTAAAGGTTTGCAATAAAGAGGAGGAGGAGGATAAGTGGAACTTGCCATTCCCTTTTCCATAATTGGGGGGTGTAGCAGGGCTTTGTTCCTTGCCTCTTTCCTGTTTCTCATCTTGGAAATGATATGCCCTCACATCCTGTCCTGATGACAACGGTTTCACCGGACAGGAAGTGAGGGAAAATCTGCACTTGAGACAAAGACAGCAATACAAAACTGGTTCTAGCCCTCCCCTATGTTATTAAAGGATTTCTGTCTGTGTTGCTGTTGGAGAGTTCTCCTCACTTCCTGATTAAACATTGTCACCAGAACAGGAAGTGAGGAAAAATCTCTATAACAGAGCCACATAAGCCTGATAGCGGATCTTACCAATGCCCACTTTTTACACAGCTGAGAAAAAAAAAGCAGGACATACACCTTAAAGTGGAGCTCTGCCCAAAAGGGGAAGTTCCACTTTAAGGACTGCTCCCCCGCTCCCCCCATTAAGGATTGGCACCTTGGGGGGGCGGGGGGGAGCGGGTACCCAAATTTTACAGGTACCCGCTCCCACTTCCAGTCCGATCGCCTAGGCGATAGGAAGCAGAAGATGTCCTCCCCCCCTCCTTGTAGTCTTTTGGGACACATGACAGGTCCCAGCCAGGGGCGGACTGACCATTTGGAAACTCGGGCACTGCTCGAGGGCCCGGGGTCAGTAAGGGGCCCCATGAGATGCCCCTGGTACCTTTTTCATAGGCTTTTTTGAGTTTGGGCAAGGACACAGGGGCCCCATGATCCCCTATTGCCCGGGGGCCCCATGAGTTTTCAGTCCGCCCCTGGTCCCAGCAGACTACAGGACCATTCATGAAGTGCAGCGCTACTCGCACATGCCCAGTGGGTACCCGGCTGTGAAGCCACAAGCTATCACAGCCGAGTGCGCACACTGAAGATGCTGGCCTCCTGGAATACAGAACGGCCAGTGAAACGGACTGCGGGGGACACACCGCGAGACCGAGGGACAAGTAAGTGGCTGTTTTTTAAAAGTCAGTAGCTACAGTTTTTGTAGCTGCTGACTTTTATTTTTTGACAGCGTGAGTGGAACTTTGCTTTAAAGTTGTATTAAACCCCCAACCCAAAAATGTTATAAATTGAAGCTTATCAATCATTAGATGTGGTGGCTGAATTCATTTTTTTTAGACTTTTTCCCTCTGTTTCCACCTGGTGATCTGGCCAGAAAACCACACCTCCTGTAATAGAGTGCCCCCACTCAGGATGAAGGAGCACCTCTCACAACAGCTTTGTCAGTCTGGGATGAGGGTATGAGCAGATTTAGATACACTAACAAATTGAAGCCAAACTCCCGCTCACACTTTCTAATCAGTTACAGCAAATTTTTTATTTTTTTTTCGTTTTGGGATACAGATTTTACATGAATAAATAAAAACTGGCCATTGTAAGCACCGCTGTCAGTGGTCAATGGTTTATCTCATCTCTGTAACTGATAAATTCTGCTGGAGAACTTGTTCTTTTGAAAAATAGACTTACTGAAAAGATCGCCAGGTGAAAATAGAAGAGAGAAAGCCTAAAAAAGAAAACAAATACAGATATCACATCTAAGAACTGGTAAGATGCAATATAATAAAGGTTTGCTTCTGGGTTTAATACCCTATTTACACCCCGGTCACATCAAAGACAATTTGTAAATCGTGCGACTTACAACGAAATCGCACAATTTCAAAATCAGGTGACCTGCCGATTTCATTGTGATTTGCAAGACATCTGACACAGATGTCTATGCAAATTGGAACAAAAGTATTGCATTCGCTACTTAGAAATCGGTGCGGCTCCGACCAAGTGGACAATAGGGTGCGACTTGGCATGCAAATCGCACTCGATGTGACCGGGGGCTTAAGGGTATATTTCACACTAGCAGGTGCAATGACCGGATGGCTGCTGGTGAACTCTGTGAATACACATTGCTGATTCGCCAATCCTGGCTGTTTACTTTTTTCTTTTTTGTTAGAGCTTTATTGAAATATCACAAGTGACATTTTATTAACTTTTATGCATGCAGTGGTATTGGGATACCTTGTCTTTGCATTGGAACTGTGCTGGGCAACGTTACTCAGCGCATCCCAGAACGGGCCTTAAAAGTTCAAAGTTAGCTATCTTCAGGATATCTACAGCTACAACTAGTTTTAGCTAGCATAGGCTAATCCGTTCCCAAGCATTTGTCATAATCAGCACGCAGTACAATGAGTGACATGTCCTCCAGCATTTGTCATAATCAGCACGCAGTACAATGAGTGACATGTCCTCCATACATTATCGGACTATGTACAGTTTGTCTTCAGCTTATCCGGACACAGCTTCCATTCTTCCACAGCCTGTTATTGAGACACGAGAGCCTCGGACCTCGCCCTCTCTTCATTCTTTCGCTCTATGACATTATTTACCTTCCATTTGGCATGGGTTAGATGTATTTTCGGTAGCTCCTTTTAAATTGGTGTACTATTTCTAAACAAACACAAACATGGCAACTGGAAGCTTTGTACTGGCCTGGCAAACAGGACATCATTCATCTGATCAGTCAGCCCTGAAATGTGAAACTGCCTGTATATGATGTGTGATAACAGTGTTTACCGCTGAACCGAAGAGCTTATTACTGCTTGGATAAAATCGGATCAAGAGGACAGCTTTGTATATACCTCAACCATAAGGAATAGGTGCCACTTGGAGCTGCCGGGGCATTGTTACTGCTAAGTGTGCGGAGAGAGGCAGAAGTATGACCCAAGAGAGGAACAATGAGCTCCCAACCATGGAGGACCCACTTCATGTAGACAAGTAGGTACTGCGGCTTTGCACTGGGAAAGGGAAGATACTTGGTGGTAGAAATCAAGTGCTTAGCAAACACAGAAACACGAGTTACAACAAGGTTATAAAATCAAAGGGGTTTGATTGCTAGGGCTGTTCTGATATCTAAAGCAGCTTTTCTCAACCAGGGTTCCATGGAACCCCAGGGTTCCTCCAGAGGATACTAGGGGTTTCTGGAGGATTGAGCAATTTTGACTGTTTAATGTTCAACCACAGACATCAGGGATCTTTTGGGCTATCTGTAAGGGGGAGACCATTTAAGGAGCATTCTTCCCACTGGCCAAATTCTAAAGTAACATAATCTGTTGATAAAAGTAGTTATTAGCAAGGATTCCTTAAGAATGTAAAGTTTTTTTAAGGGTTTCTCCATGTTACAAATGTTGAGAGAGGCTGATGTAAAGTATATCTAAAGTCTGAACGTTTTCCTTTTGGATAGAACAGGAAACATTTTAAAGCAGAGTTCCAGTTACAATGTAAAAACATAAAAGTCAGCAGCTACAAAAAACTGTAGCTGCTGACTTTTAAAATAACAGACATTCACCTCTTCCTTGATCCAGCAGTGTCCTCACCGCAGCCAGGATCACCAACCGTTCTGTGTCCCCTTTGCCAGCATCTTAAGTGTGGGCAACCTGCTGTGACAGTTTGCGGTTTCATAGCTGGGTGCCCACTGCAAATGTTCAAGTAGCTCTGCTCCTTGTGAATGGTCCCATCGTCTTCTAGGACCTGTCAGGTATCCCAGAAGTCTACGGGGGGGGGGGGATACCTTCTGCTTCCGATGGCCTAGGCAATCTCAGAGGAAGTGATATCGGGTACCTGTCAAAATCGGGTACCCACTCTCCAAAGGTGCCAATCCTTAACAGGGAGCTGGGGATGAGGCCTTAAAGCAGAACTTCCACTTTTGGGTGGAGCTCTGCTTTAAGCTCAACTCCAGGTAATGTGATACCCTTCACCTACACTGAAAGGGTTAACTGCACCATTTAGGTTTAAGAGGGATGGAAAAGTGGATTTACTTACCTGATCCTTTATGCTGCTAGGTTTATCCCCACAGTGTCTTCTCCCCCTGTGCTCCAGTCTTAGTTTCTGATGTCATAAAAATTGATCCAAGGACCATAGCTCTGCAATGGATATGAGGATGACATGGAACAGTCCATTGCTGAGCATGGGGGAGCACCATCTGTTGGAGGAGCAGATAATTGGCTAAGTGAAAGTGCTTTTACCCTCTCCTTAATCTAAACAAGGAGTCAACCCTTACAATGCATTTGGAGCCCCACTGTAAAGTGGAATTTTCATTTTTTTCCAGAGTTAGGCTGCAAAATCTCTGTCATGTTTTTGTTTTCATATTTGTTTATTAGGGGAGATTTCCCTTCATTTCCTGTCCTGTATCCCCAACAGCAAATTATAAGAAATTTCTCCAAAGTGAGAGAAATCCCCTCTCTGTTGTCACTTTTTTTTCCTCCTGTATTCTTGTTGTGGTGGCAACTCAAAATTTTGGATTTTTCCCCACTTTCATTTCCAGTGCTCATATTTACCAAAATAAATAAAGAGAGCGTATTTACCCATTTGAATCACAAATGGGAAGCAAAAAAAAATTCTTGCCTAATTTATCCAAAACAAACAAAAATGTTTTTGGTTTAGATATACTTTAAGATGGTCATTTTTTAGCAGTGTATAGTTACCATCTCATTAATAAATACCAAAACCACTGTGCTGAAGTGTTTGTAAGGCTAAGTTCTCATGGGTGGCACAGGGGCGGTAAAAACAGGCAGTTGTTTTTACTGTACCCTGGCCTTTTATTTACTGCTCACGTCTGCAGACATTGCTGCAACCACAGTGCTTTGAGGTGTGGCAATTTTAACTCAGCATGTTACATTTCACAGGTGGTGCTGCTTGCCAAATGCACCCATTGAAGGGACTGTGCAGCAACCACATGCTGGAGCATTATTTCAATGGAATATCCCCCACAAAATAAAATAGAATACAGGCATTTCTTTCTATGAGGAGGTGAGAAAAACCTAGGACAGAGGGGTGGCGGTGGATGTGGTATACTTGGACAGAGGGGTGGGGGTGGACGTGGTATACTTGGGTTTTGCAAAAGCATTAGACACAATTCCCCACACACGGCTAAAGTGTAAGGTAAAGTCTACAGGCTTGGAAAAATCAGTATGTAAATGGATAGACAACTGGCTAAAAGATCGTATTCAGAGAGTAGTGGTTTTAATGATTCATAAAGGTCTAGGGTTGTCAGTGATGTACCCCAAGGTTCAGTGTTGGGACCCTTAGTTTTTAATAAATTTATAAACGATATAGGGTCTGGGATTATAAATACAGTTTCGGTCTATGCAGATGACACCAAGCTGTGCAGTGGAATAACGTCTTTACAGGATGTCTCCAACTTACAAGCCGACCTCAATGCACTGTTTAATTGGGCAACTATGTGGCAAATGATGTTTACTGTTGATAAATGTAAGGTTCTGCACTTGGGGGCTAAGAATATGCACGCATCATACATACTAGGGGGGGTACAACTGGGGGAATCAATGGTGGAGAAGGATCTGGGAGTTCTTGTAGATCACAAGCTTAATAATGGCATGCAATGCCAAGCTGTGGTTTCTAAAGCGAGGAAAATCCTCTCTTGTATTAATAGAGGTATAGACTCCAGAGAGAGAGATATCATATTACTCGGTACAAATCATTAGTAATACCTCATCTGGAATATGCAATTCAATTTTGGGCAACAATTCACAAATAGAACATTGGGTTTATTGGATGAGTCACCTTTGCACACCGCCTTTGAATTTTCTTGCCTGAATAGGGATTTCCCAAGAGGCCGCGTGTCTACAGTATGTGCTCTCCTCACTGATCCAAATTGTAAACTTCTCTATATGGAGCATTGGGAACGTGGTTTAGCTGTCAATTATGAATTATCAGATTGGCAAGATATTGCCCTGGCACTATCAAAAATTTCTATCAGTACTACCCTATTTGAAGCAAACTATAAAACTTTGTTGAGATGGTATTTGGTTCCCACTCGGAATTGCGAGGATGCATCCATCTGCTTCTGAATCATTGGCCTGAATCTGCTAAGTGACCGGTGCTGTACTGAATCACAGCACCACTGTAGATATATGTGATTTTGCGTAGGGAGTCTGCCCTGTAGCAGTAAAACTGCAATAGGGCGGATGGCAAGTGGTTAAAGTGATTTAATTAGGCTTTAATTAGGAAGGGTCATCAAAAAGTATGGAGTCATCATTTAGCTTTGTACTGGTGAAAATGGGAAGACTGGTGGAGATATCACCCCATTAGAACCCCTGAAGGATTGTTCAGAAATACTTGTATGTGGTCAACCTAAAACTAAACACCCTGCCAAAACCTACATTTCTATTCTTTGTAGTTGTTGGCAAGTTGGATCAGTTGATTTCTTATTTTTTTGGAAACTCCAGAGATATAACTCTAAGACTTCTCTCTCAGTTCTACCAGTTCATTCCAGTTGAGAAATATTGACATCTCTTTTGTGGACTTGTTGGTGGAGGACAAAATTTACGGCAATAAAATCTTCAAGAGATAAAGAAAAATGTGTTTTGTTCTCTCTTTTATCTTAAAACTATTTATCCATTGTCAAAGCTTCTACATCCCTTTAATATAAATCTATGGTTTCTAGAGGCTTTCTGATTTTTATATACAATGTTTCAAAATACAAGTTAAAACGTTTGCCCTTACTATAAGGATAAGCCGCTGCTGTATTCCTAGCAACAACACACAACGACGTGGGTTAACGTACTAGATAAATGTGAACCCAGCCTAAAGCATAACTCTAGTTTCTAGTTTAAAACCATGCCCCTCCCATAAATCCCACCTGAGACATATACCCTTATACATGAAGCCAGGTGCTTGGCAAAGAATGGAGAGTGAGAGAAACACTGGCTGCAGCTGCTTTCTGAAGCCAGTGCCCTGTGGTGGTTAACAGGTTAACAGTTACATCAGCAAGAGGAGGGAGCTGCTGAGCATGAAGAGGTTAAAAGACTGAGTTAGGCAGCTCTGCACTGTGGGAACTGTAGTCCAGAGGAGAAACTCTACTGTAATCAAGAGCTTTTGAAATGTATTTCCCAGAGGGAGATCGCTAGAAAGAGGGCAAAAAGATGAACTTTCCCAGGCTGTACAAGACACAGCTTCCTCTTACCATGAGGGAGGCTGGAGAGTGCACATTACTGTCCAGTGTGCACCATCACTGCAGCATTTCAGTGGCCTGAGCAGAATCTGGAGTGCTGAGTTCAGGGTGCCAACAGCCAGAGTCACCTAGGTGCAAAGCAGAGAGTGGACTAATCACTGGCCTGGATTGTTTCTTAGATACACAGAATATAACTGGGTACTAACATTTATAGGTGAAGTTGATCCAGGGAATATCCGATTGCCTCTCAGTGGATCAGGAAGGAATTATTTTTCCCAGCAGGTGCAAATTGGATCGTGCTTGCTGGGGTTTTTTTTTTGCCTTCCTCTGGATGAACTGTGGGTATAGTATTATAACTTTTTTTTTTTTCTCTATGGTTGAACTAGATGGACTTTTGTCTTTTTTCAGCAGGACTAATTATGTAACTATGTAACTGTGTGTGACTTGATGGTCATCTGCAACATTGCTAGGACTGGTGAGCTGCTGCTTTAGGTATTTACTATCTTCTGCTGAAAAGACTGTGCCCTTTAGGAACTGACCATGCAGCCATCTAGTAGCCTTATTGCTGTCTGCAGGCTCGACTATTCTCGTGTGCACCAATGGTAACATTGGACCCCAATGTTAGCCTGATGAAGAGTTAGGACTAAAGACTGTCCCTTTACAGCTGATAGACAGAGATCTCTACATATTGCTTATGTTAAGAGGTAGCTCTCAGGGGACATTGCACCATATCCTAGCCATTCTCTTAGAGTGCACTCTAAACTAATATTATTCTCATTGCAGTGAATGCCTTTATACACTGTTT